CCTCTTTGTTGGTCAAGTTTGATTTTGCAAAAATTTATTTATTTCAGATAGCTATGAAATTGTGATGTTAGGGGTATACTATGGGGTGGGATGGTAGTACTTAGTACTTGCCCCGTCATTTTTGACAGGGTATACGCTAGTTATAAATAATTTTTCTTCATAACCAATGTTAGAATTTATACATTTATTTGTAAAAAGTGCATTAATACAACATCAAGCAACAAATAGATGACAAATAATCAAGATAATGAAAGTATTTACTCTTTTGTATCTGACTTGCAAAAACTTATCTTGCTTTAAAAAACTCATAGGACAAGGTTTATGAAAATTTCTGCCTATAGAACCTTTAGAAGATACATACCCAACAGACTAAAGGATGACCTACCTCCCTTTAGAACTGGGCAATTTAATTGATTACCTATGAGTAGTGATTACATCAATTAATGTGACATACAATTACTATTAAATTGACTGTTATGTAAATAATCAAGTAACCCTACTAAGACGGGTCTTCCTATGGTTAAGGGACGTTTGTAGACTTACATTCAAAATTTTATTGAACTACTATTTTATGAATGTATATCAATAATTTGGTATCAAATTGTAGATTATAATTCAAATTTTAGTATTATACATTAGATAATTTTTAATTTAAAAGTAAATATTAAAAAAAAACAATCTTAATATTGATTTTTGTTTGTCATGTGGTATGTTGAATGCAGCATTGGTTCAGATTAGATGTTTATGACGTCCAAATACAAAATCTATAGTTTATTACAAATCAAGAACTCAAATTAATAATATTGACAAGCTAGAATATAAAATAAGAACCTCCATCCTTTTTTTTGCTGAGATATTGCTACATTTAGTGAATCAAACACAGAGGCCCCGCCCTTCTCTTTCCATTTTTGGAAACACTTGCCTACAAACACCTACTTCTGTCTACGACATGCGAATAACCAGTCACAAGCTCATAATGTCCCCCATGTGGTTCTCCAAGTCTTTGCAAAGTATTTACACAGAAAACCCTTTCTTTTCATGGTTATTTCCAAGTGGTAAGGTAAGGCATTATTGAACTCAAAAAATAATTTTTGTAGACCAAAATACAGCTTAGCTACTAAGTCTGATAAATTATAGTGGAATTCTGTGGTATTTATATTGTAATTTATGAATTTTTGTTATGCATATATAAAAACCTAAAAAATTATTTGTTTTACATTTTCCACATGCAAAATTAGATAAGGCTTAGCAAATTATATCAAGCAGTAAACGAACGAGTACAAAGTTTGTAACTAGAAGAGATAATTCTTTTCTATACTTCTTTTTTACTATTCTATGTTTTAAGAAAAATAACTGAAATTTAAGAACTTATTTGTAAATAGTAATATTGTATATGCATATATAATGTATTATAACCAAAATGTGACTGTATTTTACAAAATACTGGTTCAGTAGAACTCAGCCAAGACATGTCACTTTGTAAAAGCCAACTTTATATTATTGGATATGGAGTGCACATGCGCCGCATCATTCAACTTCTGTAATGTTAGTCAGACACTGTTGAAAGGTCAATAAAATAAAAATAATAAACTTTAATATATGTAAAATGTTATGAGATTTAAGCCATTTAGAACAAAAAAAGCTTAACTTATATCTATTTCATATCTTTTATGGTGGTTATGAGGTAGGTAGAATCGACCAAACTCATACAAAGATACAATAAAGAAAATAACAGATAAAATATATAGTTTGTTTCTAAAAAAAACGTTTGATAAATATCTGGAGGATATTAGGAGGTTATGGAAATTTTTCTTGTGAAATTTGACAATTTTCTGGTGCACAAAAGTATATTTAATCTTAAAATCAAAATTACTTCACATGTTGGATAGCCAATATTTGAAAATAAAAAATGCACAAGCGAATAATTAATTAAAAAATCTGATACATTGTGCACAAATGCCTTGTAATGTTTACTGATGATCTGCAAAATTTCATGAAGATATGTGTACATTTTAAAAAGTTAGAGTATAATTGCTTTATGGTTACTTTCGGGAATATGGGCTGGGTGGAATCCACCCACCTGTATTAGAAGGGTCAATGAAAATTCAGGTTTCCATCTATTACTATTTTCAATTATTTCAACTATCCAGCTAATCAAAATATTGCTATTTTGTTGTTAAGCATAAAGCTATATAATGACTTAGTTTTGAACTACTGAATAGAGGGAAGACAACTGTATGATAGCACCTGCCACTAACTTTTATTTTGGCTTTTTTCTTCTTCTTGAACTGCTGATGAGGGGGAAGGAAACTGTGAGGCAGTATCCACTTTTTTTTTTTGCTTGTTGGTACATACCATGGTTTGAGAAGCATTGTTCTAATCGATTAACTGCATGTAATCAATTAATGGGGTCACTGATTATTCTAATTTAATCTTTTAATTGTGGCCATCAATATTTAATAATCATCCAGCCCTACCTACTTTACATTTCTAACCCTAATAAATAATATAACAAAAACTTCACCTATTTCTTAAATTTCTAGTTCTTCCGAACAGTAAACTCTATAAAGAAATACAGAATGTTTCCTCAAAAAAAAAAGGAGAAAAAATTATTGCCTACAATTTTTCATTACCCCTTATTTGAAATATTTGTTAGAGTACTTTATGAAGTGATTTAAAAATGAAATCAAAAGTTATTAAAATATCCTATGATTTAGAAGATATACCTGTAAAACAGCAACTCCCACTGCCACCCCTGCCACCGGTACTAGGTTAGCTTCTATCCACTCCTCACCAGCTCTTAAACAACCCTTTTCATAGACAACTGATGATTTGTCACCAGCCTATGTAAAAAATAAAAAAGAATGAACCTGAGAAACATATTTAATACAAAACAGGAATTAATGAACTTTAAATGACTTACTAGAATTACTTGTATCACCATCACCTCCATATTCATTCATACAGAAATAATAAAAGAGGGAAGAACTAATAGTTATATCATTATAAATTAATTATTTATATTTTAAACTATGTTCAGTATAAAAACATATAAGATAATATACAAATAACATAGAATATTTTACAGAAACTCAGATTATTCTATAATGGTTAACATTATGTTTTTAATCAAAATATCCTATTTTTGGCTTAAAATAAAACAACATACAGTGGTGAAAAAAAAATTGAATCACTCAATGTTTTTCACTTTTCTTGGTTCCTGTAATTTTTTACAAAATTGTGCATGGTAGAAGTGTCAAGACTATTATAAAATGGTTATGGACATTGTGTGGCTCTTATTTCAGTGAACCCAGCACATATGTGAATCTATATTAACAAACTAATCAAGACAAATGTATTTTAGCAGATGACCAACAAATACTTAGTAAATATGAAAATGTTCTCCGAGTAAGAAAACCTAGATTTAAAGATAACACCATGTACTTGTCAGCACTGACAGTGCCTTTCACAAAATTCAGGTATCCCACACCCTGACCAGAGATGCATCCCCATATCACTTGACCCTGTGGATGCTTAACAGTTGCATTCAAACATGCTGAATGAAAATCTTGTCCACATCAACATCATACAAAGTGCTTCCAATCAGACCCATGCAGGTTAAACTTTGATTCACCTGAGAAAATCACCTTGCTCCACACTGTTTTAGACCAGTCAGCATGCTGTAGGGCCCAGTTGAGTCTCATCTTCCTCATCTTGTTGGTGAGTAGATGTTTCTTTCTTGGCTGTCTTGCTGAGAGACTTGCTCAATACAGGCAAGACCAGATGGTGCATGTGGTGAAAGGGATGCTTGAACTTTCGTTCCATGGTTTTTGAGATCTGTGTATGACAGTCAATGATTCTGCAGGCTCATGCATTTCAGAACACAATCATCAGCTGTTGTGGAAGCTTCCTTCCTACTCCTTCCCTCCCACTGCTCCACACAGCCAATCTCTCTATATCTCTGCATCCAGCAGCTCACAGTAGACTGGTTAAATATAATTCTTCTAGCAAGCTGCCTTGTCGAAAGACCCTCTTTGCTCAAAGAAACAATGCTTTTTTCTGTGGAATTAACTCGCAACTCTTGGCCATGGTAGCATCACACCTCCATTTATAACCAAAAAACAACCGATGCAATACCCAGACAGCATATAAATCTGCTGATGTAATAATTACACAGTACTGGATTATTCATGAAACACATTTGCACCTACATGCACTATGGCCTGAAAACAGACAATGATTCCGAAGAAGGGTGTGAAAAAATTGGGTGATGCAATAAATTTTTCCACCACTATATATATAATATTAAAAAGCATGTTATCTTAATAGTAATCAGTACAAAGCTTTATCAGTTCTTTTATGTACTCATGAAGTATTACAAGAGTATATAGAGTAACATGGATTTAAACATTTTTGGATAGTTTGCAAGGTAGATTTTGAAAATGTTTCTACTTACAATACAAGCTTCATTATAAAATATTATTAATTTCATTAAAGCATGTTTGTTGAACATAAAAAATGATAAATCCCAAAAAACAACTGCCTACAATAGATTTAGTGTAGAATTACAGAAATGTTATAAATAAGAGAGATAAAAATGACTATTAAAGAACTGTTTAATTGAACATTTCTGTATTAAAGAAGTATGAGAAAACGTGCTATTGGATTGTACTTTCAAAAAAAATTGTGAAAAATATTTCATTCATCATTAAAAAAGGAAACTAAGTTACATCTTAAAATAATTGTCTCTTTGGCACTGTTGACAAGCCCAAGATAAAAACAAAAACTAATCAAAATTGTATTTTTATGTCAAATTACTAAAAAGAAGTGGAAGGTCATGAATAAGCAAAAAGGTAAAAATGTATAGTTTTTCTGGAAATACAGTTAGATCGTATAGTTTGGAATAATAATAATAATAAGTTTACTCAACTATCTCAACTTAACTCTTTTGTTATACTTGAGAAATTGTTACATTAAGTTACCGTAGAAGTTCAAATATAGACATACACTAATTAAGCCTAGAAATGTAATGCCAAACATTAAATTATCAGCAAATACTTTTTATATGCATATACTATTATGTATGGTTTTGATTATTTAATTTCTACGTTTTATAACTTAGTTTATGTGATAATAGGCATGACAGTTACACAAGTGGAAGGAAAATTGTATACTCACATAATCTCTCTTTCTCACATCATATCCACATTGCTTGTTTTTAATCATTTCCTGAAATTGAAAAGTATCACTTATTTATATGTATGAATCAAGGTTCTTCACAAAAATGTAATACACTGAAAGGACCTCATCTAATATTGGATTGAACCAATTTACACTGCTGTAATGAAACAGCCTGGATTTTGCAAGACATACTAAATAAGATGCTAAAAGGTAAGATATCTTGTTGAATTGGAGCCTAATCATCAAGATGTGTGGTCTGAAATTACATAACAAGTGTAGTCAAAGGATTATCAAAGGGAACACAGGTTCATTCCACAGATCAAGTGACTATGCAGGTCAAAAAGACGTCTCTGAAACAATGTCGTACTTAAATGAGTGTTGTGAATTGTTGTATTATTGCCCTGGAAGATCTGTTATCCATCAGAGTGAATGCATCTGGCAACAAAATTCACTTAAACATATTGATGCTGTTTATCTTTCTAAAAGAATCAAAGGGCCAAACCCTTGCCAACAGGTTAGTTAGTTTTTTTCTAGTCAGAAGCACATCCCTTTTTGAATGCCATATTTGAAAAACTGATGACAAAGGTTTTTGAATAATGCTTCTGCTAAACAGGCATCCACTATCATGCCTCTTTGGAATTTGTAAAGATCATTGTTCTTACCCATTGTCTTTCAAAGTACACATGGTATGACTACATATCCGATCTGTTACTGTTTAAGCAATTGCCTGATGCATCACATGATCAAACTAATTTTAATATGCACGTATATGGAGTGTTTTACAAATGTGCATGTGGGGACCCTAAAATTCCTTGTAGTACAGAGCTCATTACCTTTGTAGTGACCAATTATCATAATATTTCTTCTCACTTATTAGTACTTATGAGCCACAAGTTTCAATGCATGATGCTAAAACATCACTTGTTTGAATATGTCCTTATTAAATGTAACATGTAGTACTAGTTTCCAGGCCCAAGAATATGAGAACAAAATTCAGACAAACAATGAAAATACTTGAGAAATTCATCTGTGCTTATTTTCTTGTATTCATTTAACTTACATTTGGTTGCCGCTTACAACAAGAAAATGGAACTCCACAAGCTTCCCGACTACCTATATCAACACTGGAACAGTTGAAATAATTGTTCATGTCCCAGTCTTTTGGTCCTTCAATACCACAACATTCCAGCTATAAAGATAAATTAAACAACTTGAGAAATTGGAATAGAATACACAAAGAAAGTTATAAAACAAATACTTTGTAAAAAAATTTCTCTGAGAAGATTTAACCTGTTGTGATAATGAAATCAATAAAAACATATTAAAACAAATTTTTCTAAAATAATATAAGCTGTTTATTTTTTGCTATTAAATCTTGTCAAGATTTAAAAAGTATGAAAAACATAGTTCAAATATTTAATATTGAATACCCATTCTTCTTGAATCCAGTCTATGAGATTTTGTCGATCAGGATCATCTCTATAATGGACAATAAAAGCCTGGAAACCATTTGTAGCCTGATTCTTTATCTGTACAGAGAAAATCAAATTGTGATATGCATGTAACAGCTTGTATTACAGATATGAAGTTTATAAATGGATAAAATGAATGCCATGTATACATCTTTCGCAGCTTCAGTTGTCAAAAATAAATACTAGATTCTATTCAAAAAAGTGAAGCATTTTAACTGGAACAAACAATTAAAATAAACTTATTGGACCATTTTGAATATTAAAGAAAATTAAATGTGGCAATTTATCTCATGTTTTCTCTCTAGGACTCTGTATTTCACAAATTAACTCTGCATAAAACTCACTTAACCATTAGATCTTTTAAACATTTGTGTAAATTATGCTTTGAATCATTTTAGAAAAGAAGTAATTTATTCACATTAATATTTTACATTATTTTTTTACATAGATATTCCTACCTAAATCTAATTTGACAATCAAAAATTCCTATAATTGTTTTTTTACAATTTAAAACAATCACAAAGAAACAATGCCACCCAAAGGTATAACTTATGGCAATAAACAAAATTCAACAGTGCTCAGTTCATGCGGTTACATTAAATGTAACATTTCTTAGTTATACTATAATCTGTGACCAAAAAAAAAGTTTTATCAATAACATGAAAAAATACAGTAAGAAAGTACAAAAAAATTTCATATTGCTATTTTTTTCTTTAAACTGTTATTTTAAAGCACAATAAAATAAGTTCTGAGGTTTGAGCATTGTTTCTTGATTTTTTTTAATAAGCAGGTTATTTAATTAGAAACTCAAATATTTTCATACATTCTTTTTTTTCTCATTATTTTTCATGTTCTATTATAATTGAAGTTATCTCTACTAACAAGCAGCACATAGTATCAAGTTGAAATGAAACAGCCATTCTTTGATACTGATGATTATAAAGGTATTAAAGTAGGTCTGAGAACTTCATGTTCATCACTTTCTTGAAATGATTTATAACTTATCAGATTGATCATAACAAAACTGATATGAAATAACCAAAAATATTTTTAATTTGAACATAACTCTTTTAAGTCTGAATTTATTTCAAATGTTTTAATGAATATGCTACACTTATTTTGTGATCTTGAATTTAGTAAAGATTCACTATTGATGAATTAGCATTTAGAAAATCATTAATTACAGATATTATTGTTTAGTATTTAATTTTTCAATGTTTTTTCTCTCAGACTACACATTGTAATACATTGTCAAAACAACATTAGTAAATTGACATTACACAGTAGGTGTTTCATTTCAAGATATATATTGACTTGTTTGTTTGTTGTTAGTCACCATGGGCTATCTGCAATGTGCCCACTAAAGGTATCAAAACTGGCTTTTAGCATTATAAGCTTACAGACTTACCACTGAGTCAGTAAGTAGGGGCATATACCGATTTGAAAAATATCATGTTATAACATCTAATTAGATTTAACTATCCATAACTTTGTAAAAAATATTTCCATATGAAGTTATTTTTTTATGTCACAGTTACTACAAAATTTGAGCATTTTATCTACTTCTATCAAATCTGTACTTTTTGATTTAAACAGACAAGTTATCTCAGGAAAATTTATGGTTGACATTGGATCTGTAATAAAAAAAACTTTCCTAACTTCCTTTCACCTATTCATACACTGATGCTTTACTATTTTAATGCAAAGTTTAAGCTCATTCTAATTCCTTATCACTGAAGTAATAATCTTATTTTTGAATGCAGCATTAAATTAAAGGCATTCACTAGGAGAAAATAATTGAAAATACTATAACCAAAATAACATGCATCATTAACGAGTTTACTTAAAAATACTTAAGAATTGAAATCAGTTATTTAATCTTACATAGATGTTGTATGCATAATTTAATTCACAACAACAATTTAAATACTCTTGTATAACAAACAAAATTTACAAGTACACTATTCTAACTAATTCTTAGAACTGAAAATATTACATTTTAAAATTTCTGGACATTAACAGATAGTTTGTAAATTTTTATAGCAAGGCACAAAATAACTGCTTATTGGTCAAAAACTGAAAATTTTTTCTGTTACTAGACCTGTTTACATCTGTTAAGTGATGATGACATGTTAAATGATGAAATGGCTAAATGAAAGACACTTTGTTTTACAATAATCTATTACAACTTTACAATATCAGGCTATGTGGTAACTAATTTTCCAAAATGCAAAAGGTTGAGACATCATACATAACTATAGTCTTCTTGATAAAAGAGTTAGTACAAAGGATCACATATAAAGTGTAATAAAGTTAAAATAAGACCAAAAACATCAAGCGTCTTCGAATAGTTGACTATTCGAATACACAACTATAGTACACACTACAATTTTGTATCAGTGTCAGAACAAAGTCACTAACAGAAGGCATATCATAATAAGTCAGTTCCTCCTACTTCCATTCATATAGAATTGTCAAGTGATGCTTACATGAAAATGAGGAGTAATATATTTCTAGATCTATTTTACTTTGCTATTTCTTAACATATTATTATTACATTATTTAATTAATGGTACTGATTATACTCTGGAAAGACTGGTAAGTCAATAAAATTTAGTATACTTCACTTAATTAGCCTAAACAATTCCATGATGTTTGTGCTGAGCAGGTTAGGATGTTTACTTTAATGGACAGGTTCCATGGTAGAGTAAGATTTTTAGCCTATGTTTTATGGACTTGGGCAATATCAGGAAAGGTTTTCTGGAAATACCTTAAATGATTTTACTGAAGAAGTTTAAACATAGGTAAAGGAGTAACTATTTCTGTAAAATAGATAATTATTTTTTCAGAGGAGTGATCAAATAGAAACTTTTCACACATAAAAAATTCAGGTAGGATGTCCTTATTTGTTTTCAGAACTTTGCACAAAGCTACACAAGAGCTATCTGAGCATACCCATCCACAATTTTATACTAATACACTAGAAGGAAGGGAGAGAATTAGTTGCACCGCTGCCATATTTTTGGCTACTTTTGTCTGACTAAATAGTGGGATTTCACCATAACTCTTATAGCATAATCATTGTGACACTACGCAATAGGTCACAAATCCCAGCCCAGGAATAATTACTTGGACTTACACATTTTAAGGACATCCTTAGACATTATCCTAAGATTTGAGGCTATGTTGGAGAATATTTAGGCATTATTCCTATCTGTGGCTGCATTTTAAGTCATCTGAAAGACTACTGATAAGAGATTATAGGTTCATACATCTTTGGGTTAAAAAATTCCATTACTGGAAAATTTTTTTTCGTATGTTGCATTTTATTATAAAGATTTACACTATAAATGCATGCTTCCTGAAACAATTTCTTTGTGTATAGCATATTAAGTTATGCTAACTGGATACATTAACACTTTCTCATTAATTTTACTTGCCTTAACATTGCAATATGAGAGCTGCAGCTCAAGTTAAACAATAAAAGAACCAGTAATTGGGAACTGAAACCATAAATCATAGATTTCTGTGAACTTTTCACTAACACTCCTCTAGACCATTAGCAACTGCCTGTATTTCTTATTATTTTTCTACATTTCTTTCATGGTCTTGATAAGTCAGAAATGTTTGGAAATTTCATTAAAGGCCAACAATGCATATGAAGTTCAACAAAGGCTTCAAAAATAGTGAATATAGAAAAAATTATCAACTTAAAAAGAACTTCAGTGGTCTAATTAACTGCCCAAATAAACTTTCCTGTGGCACAAACTACCATTTCATTGTACATATAAAATGATGCACTTTAAAATGTAAGTAGCAATGAAAGCTTACCCAATCTTTGAAAATAAAGCCTAAGATTCCAGCAGTCATCTCCAGTAGCAGCAGGATGGCCAAAAAGATGGCATACTAGATAAATTATGAAAGTACTCTATTAACTAATCATTCAATAAAATATTTATCATACTGAATAGATGAAACTTGAGAATTAATCTACAAAGTTTCAGCCAGGTGCAATTACAGGTAACCATTTCTTAGTGCAAGTAACTACTATGCATCTGAAATGAATAGCATGTTCATAGCTTTTAATATGGTAAAAGACATTTAATAACAAAGCAACATAAGTTGAAGAAAACTAACATTTTATTTAAAATAATAAGCATGATGCTTTTGTAAAATATTACACAACATTTTTGCTTACTGCTTAATATAATTATTGAAGATAAAGATGTCCAATACTTATTATTTGGCACTTGAAGCAGCATAGCTGTTTTTCTACATCACAAAATAATCATTATCTAAAATGCAAAATGCTGAAACATGAAGAGCAAAAGTGTATATAGCCACACAGAATTATTAAGAGGCTATTTTTTTATGTGTTGTTGATATTGACAACATAAAGCATTAGTATATTGCATGCAAAAGCTTGATAAAAACATTATTGGTGGCTTTTTTTTTGTTTTTTCTTTACTGTATGTACTATAAATTGTTGCTTTAATATCAATCACTTTTACAGTGATGTTTCACAATGTCATGAAACTGTTTAGTTTAAATATTAGTGATTAATTTATATTTGTAAGTGAATATTTTATTATTTTTAAGTTTGTTATAATAAGAGTTAAAAGCAGACGATTGTAGAAGGTTTTGTTAATAACTAATAGCGTAGACGAGCAGGAAGCAGCAGACAGACAACAATAGACAGATAATGGCAAAAGAGAATATAATTGTGTGAAGTTAAGTACTGCAAAGGTGATAGGTCTAGCGTTTAATATGTTAGAGTGAAACTAACAGTATAGAAAAATATAAGAAGGATAATTTTATTCTGTCAAAGTGTGGTTCTAAAGTAATTGAATCAGCCTGGGTAAACTTTACCAAAAGGAACAATGAATCTTCAGAAGAAAGAAGACCAAATAAATTATGGTAACTTTCGCCACAACTGTAAGTGAATCACACACAGAATACTAGTTCAATAGTGATATAGAGAAGATAGTTCGACTTGTCAATTGAAAT